CATTTAGACTGTTTCTACAAAACAAATCTAATGAAAAGAGCTCCAGCACTGAGGAGCCATCCTATCAATCGTTAATCAGGTAAACCTATCTGGGAGTCACATGCCTTAATTCAGGGATTTGACACAAGCCAGGCCCAGTTTGGTGTACTTGTTAAGGCATTAGGCTAGAAACTGGGAGACTGAGAGTTCTAGTCCTGCCTTAGGTGCAAAATCAGCTGGGTGACTTTAAGCCAGTCACTCCCTCTCAGCCTTAGGAAGCAGGAAATGACAAGCCACTTCTGAAATCTTGCCAAGAAAACTGCAGGGACAACACTGCATTTGAAGAAACACACAAAAAGGAGAGGAATATACATTTGATAGAAGGACACAGCACAACAACTAGCTCTTGTCTTAAAAACACTATCACTTACTTGCAGCACATTTTCATTACGATTGGTGATCCCATTGCTAGAGCTATGGCTCTCCTTGATTTGCATTCTTACAATACAATTCTGTGTTTTTGCCATTTTCTTCAGCAAATCTGCCCCACCCTCAGAGAAGTAGACGTGTAGTACTTTCTTCTTCAGAGGTATTATACCAAACATCAGAGAATCCAAATCTTCCTTAATAATTGGGATGGCTTCCTGCACAAATTTCCGGAGACCTTTCACTTGCAATGACAACATCTGACTGCTTGGCTTAAATTTGATGCTCACACTGAGGTGTTCCCAATCCATAATATGAAGAAGACTCTCCCCAGCTAATACTAGTTCTGGTTTAGTAAATATCATAGTGTCCTTCATTGGGGAATTAAGAGATAAGTACTCCTGAATACATTCTTCTACCTCAGCAGTCCGAGAACAGAGACCAACCAGTGTCACCTGATTGGATGGAGTGTAATGAACAACAACGTCCTTATGAGACTTTAATCTGTTTAACAACTGTCCCCACTCTTTACACTTAGTGACCCATTGCAACTGATCTGCAATCTCCACTGTCTTCTCACACACCTGTTCCATAAGGATCTTTTTTGCTTCTTTTATTTCACCCAAGTCTAAGCCACTGACTTGGACAATTTCAGAGATGTCCAAAATGGCTGGGAGGCTCCTCTCCAAAAAAAAGCTGTTGTGAAAGAGCTTGCCCCATTGTGCCATGACAAACTGAAACTGGAGTTTGGAGAGAGGGACTGGTAAAAATTGGAAACCACTAAGGAGCTCCTCAAACTGCCTCTTCAGTTCTACCAACTTCTGACGGGGACCTCTAAATATGATAGTTGTTGGATCTTCAGCCAGCACTTTTATGCTTACAAAAGAGTTTGCTGGAAATCTCTCTTGGAACAAACTTTCTTTTACAACAATGCAAGGGACTGACTCATACTGAGCTTTGACTTCAATCATTTCAGACTGGTATTCTTCAATCTTTCTATGAACAGCTTCCAGAACATTCCCCACATCTTCTTGGAAGCCACAAATCTGGAGTTCATCATCCTGCAACCAACGGATATCTATGGGAAACTCATGCAATACATTCTTAAGGAATTCACCACTGTTGACATTTTTGAAAGTCGCTATTGCTTTATGACAGATGGATTTTTTAGAGAACTTTGCAATGAAGCCAGCCACATTTTGCTTCAAACAGTTCACATGGTTCCATTTGCCCATTACATATATTGTTCCTGTGCAGCCTGTAGCAAAACTCTAAAAATAAAGAAAACTGGATGTCAGAGACATAATAGTCCTTGATATGATCTATAATGTAAGTCATAAAATCAGTGTGAAATATGCATTCCAATTTTATAACTGAGAAATGAATTCTTTCCATCAATATTGCTGATAATTTTCCATCTTAGCCTATTACTTTATAATAAAGCTAAATGCAGAAGCACAATTCATCCATATGGATTTTTATCTTTTACATTCATTTTAGAGGTGAAAACATGGAATACCTCTTCCCACCTAATAGTGGAATTCAGAAATGTGAAAGCTGCATTATAAACAACACTTAATTAGATACTTAATAGTCAATGCACACTAATCACAGGGCACACACCAAATGATCTCTTTAAAGTTAATTCACAATCTCATAAATTGGAAACATTATGTCAAAAATCAGTAACCCCAGAACTGTTTCCAGCCAGGTAGATCCATGAGAAGCAACCCAGATACCTATCTATGTTAGGACTTAGTGAGACTGGGACAACCTGCATTCAGTTTTCAGTGAAAACCAGAAGTAGATAGTAGGGTCAAAAGGAATCTAGTGATCACTCATAAAGCTAGACTAAAATAGAGGCAAGGTTGACACTGCATCAGAGATTCAAGCTGATAAATTCTCTCAACATAAGACAATTACCCTGATCATACAGAGTCCTTGGTTCCAAAGTAGCTGTTTTATAATTGTTGTCATTAATTTCATTTGGAAAAAATACATTGATGGAATAAATTCAGATTGATATTTCTAAAATGTAAATTTGTATGGGATCTCATCCAAAAAGTCTGAAAAGTGTAGTGGCATCTAAAACAATGAGTAATACAGTGAGTATGACATGAGCTTCCATTGGCAACAGATCTCTGACCAGTTTGTATATGAAGATTCATGGCAAAACAAGTATATTGGACAGATTATTGTTCTGCATCAGACTGTCCCCCTGAAATTTAGAAATGTCATAGTAGAGAGAGGCCAGAAAAAAAAATGTTTAGCCATTTTTGTAAAAGGAGAGGACTTTAAATAACAAGAAATAGGCATGACTGTATAAACCAAATGGTGCACTAAGAAGCAATATTTCACAATCTCCAGTGAAACAGCAAACAGTCCAGGAGAAGCATCTCAAAATTCCTTGAAAAGTCACAGAGAATGCCAAGGTGTATTATTTTATTTGTTAAACATGCATTCTACCTTCCCATCAAAACATACTCAAGACTAGAATGGAATGGAATGGAATGGAATGGAATGGAATGGAATGGAATGGAATGGAATGGAATGGAATGGAATG